ATCTATTTATTTATTTATCAATCCTCACCCGAGGATATTTTTCCATTGATTTTTAGGGAGAGAGGAAGAGAGAGGGAAAGACAGAGAGAAACATCGATGTGAGAGACACACATGGATTGGATGCCTCCTGCATGAGACCCAACCAGGGCCTGGGCTGGGGAGGAGCCTGCAACCAAGGTATGTGCACTTGACCGGGACCCATTGAGCCAAACCAGCTAGGGCCAGCATTTCTACTTTTAAGAATATATCCAGCATGGAGGGACCTGGAGAATATTATCCTAAGTCAGAGAAAGACAAGTACCACATGATCTCACTCACATGTGGAATCTAATTAACAAAATAAACTGATGAACAGAGAGGATCCAGAGACATGGAAGCATAGAGCAGAGTGTGGAATCTCCCAGGAAAGACAGGAGGGTGGGTGGATGGGAGGTCATCAACCAAAGACCTGGTAGGTATATACAGCCTGGAGCAGGGGAAGAGGGGCAGTGGTAGGCTGTAGGAGGTAATTGGGGGGAAAAGGGGGACATATGCAATACTTTGAAAAATGAAGATTTAAAAAAATAATAAATAAAAATTTTAAAAATGCAATGAAATTTAAAATAAATAAAATATTTTTTTAAAGACTATATCCAATTGAGCCCTGGCTAGTGTTCTCAGTGGTTAGAGTATCAGCTCAAACACCCAAGGGTGGTGGGTTTGAGTACCGGTCAAGAGCATGAACTCTCTCTCTCTCTCTCAAGTCAATTAATTTTTTAAAAATTTTAAAAATAACAAAATTATAACATAGGTGTCCAAAGATGTTCACTGTAGCACTGTTTTAAACTGGAAACACATTATCCTTTAGAAAGGAATAGAATAGGCCCACCCTATGTGGTTGAACATCCACCTATGAGCCAGGAGGTTATGGCTCAATTCCCAGTCAGGGCACATGCCCGAGTTGCAGGCTTGAGCCCCAGTAGGCAGCGTGCAGGAGGCAGCCTATTGATGAATCTCTCTCATCACTGATGCTTGTACCGGCCTCTCAGCTGCACTCTAAGCAACATTGTAACACATACAGAACTAAACAAAACCGGGGGCTTCAGCCAGCAGGACCGCACCATTGTTTCAAATAGAGAAGGGTAAACAAAGGCCAGAAATCTGCTTTCAGCAGCGGAGGTCTCATAGATGGAGCCGATCCTCAGAGCTAAAGCTGGTGGCCTAGAATTAAAAAAAAGGAGAAAAGTACAGGTGGTTCATG